TCTCTATTCCCCCCTCCCCTAAAAGCATGATTCTACTAGTTAAAAAGATTCTATGCTTATTTTAGACAATCAAACGTATTTCTAACGTTCACTAATAATAGTTGTAATGCTAGCAAGTACTACACCTTGCATTGGCTTAATTTAATACGCCGTTATTTTATTTAAATACTTTAAAAATACCCTAATTTCCAGATTAGCACGTCCAACCAATATCTTTTTTTAATTTTCCTAAATATAATATATAACTCATAGTGAGAAACAATTGTACAGTGTGGGGAAAAAAACCACCCGAAATAATTTTTGATATAATAATCGGATCTTCATTTTTTAAGACTCATTCCTAATGGTTCAAGGGAGTAACCTCGAATATGCTCATTAATTAGTGCAGACGATATTTCAAGTTACGAAATCACGCACAAAAAGTACTTTGTCTGAATAAATATACCTTTTTTTTCAACAAATTCGGATTTCTGACCCCAAAATTATAAATTATCTTTGTTAATTATATCGTGTTGAAATAGCGAAGCAAATTGAAAAAAATCAACGAAAGCAGTTTTTAGGATTTGTGGACAAAATAAGCTGAAAATTGGGAGTCACCCATGATGCAATTTAATTCCGCGTTTAGAAATAAGAATTCGAACAGTCAGGAATGCATTAAAAAAACAAGTTAAAAATTTTGAACCCCGTTTTAATAAGAATCTTAAATATCATTAAATCAAATAACTACATTTCAACAAAAAGGAAAAAATATGATTTTGTAAGTTATACCAAAGCTCAACTAGATCAGTAAGTTAAATATAACTTTTTAGGCTACCACAATATACTCCAATGAAATGTCAAAAAGTATTTTTGCTTCAGGTGGTTCAAGCCTTCTTGTTATACAATGGTTGAAGTTGCCTGCTGCACTTTGTCATTAGTTCTGGTTATATCTGGACAAAGTCAGGTTATGCCAGCCATTTGCTTTAAAAAAAAATATGATTTATCACAGTTAAAAATTATTCATGTCTTTCAACGTAGTTTAACCAAATCTCAAGAGGATTTAAACCATTTCATAATGGGGTACCTGCAAGTGACGTAGTTGGGTATCTAGATCCCGATTGGTTGTCTAAATATGGAACTTGCTTACATCAGCAGCTGTTCTGTCCATTCTATTTCGAGTAAGTCGATCCCGTCAAGTATCATTTCTTTTAAGTGACACATTTTATATTCTTTTACAAGGATTCTTTCTCAAAGATTTCAATTATCTTACTACATATTTCTTACTTAACACAAAGACAGGCATGAAGACATGTAGAACATAAAAAAACTATCGGGTTGGAGGGAAAGTTCTGTCGTATTTTAAAGAAAATATTTGAATTCATTTATAAAAATATGCGTTTAATATTAATCAATTTTATATGCTTCGTTATTTGTTACAACCTGTTGCCATCTTTCAGGTAACCTGTGAATTCCTGTTTTGTAGAAGTTCTCGTCCTTAGAATTGAAATAGTCAGCAACTGCCTTAGAAACACTTACAAAAGACTTGAATTTTTTACCCGTTAGATAATTTTGCAGAGATCTGAACAGATAACAATCTGATGGTGCAATGTCAGGTGAATACGGTGGGTGACTAAGGATTTCCCATCCTAACGCATTCAGTTTTTGAAGTGTCACCATTGCAGTATGCGGGCGAGCATTATCGTGGTGGAACACTATTCCTTTTCTGGACGCTAATGTTGGCCTTTTTTCTTTGATAGCTGCTTTTAATTTATCTAGCTGATTGCAGTACAGAACCGCNTGAAATCTTTTGAAATGTAATATATTCAATTTTTTTACATAATTTTAAAGAATTCAATTTTAAGTGACAAAATACAAAATTTGAGCAAAATCAGACGAATTTTAAAAACAACGGAATTTTAAAAACAGGACTTTCAAAATTCCATTTCTCAGGAGCAATTAGATCGATTTTGCTCAAATTTAAAATTTTGTTACGTAAAATTAAATTATTTAAAATGATTTAAGAAACTGTATACCTTAAGTACAGTTTAAAATTTTTATTATTAAAAACTATTTAATAAAATAATATTACTCAAAGTTATTTTTTGTATGGAATTATCTTTGGATACACGAATTTTATAAATGTGTTCGAATATTTTTTAATGAGATTCGGCAAAATACGCAAAAAGTAAAATTAACATTAAGGAGTCGAAATTTTGGTCCCCCCTCTGATCAAACTATAGGACCATATTTCCCAGATTTCGGCTACCCCCTATATTTTGGGGGTTAGAAATCCTAATCCGTCGAACAAAAGGTTTGTTTAGTGTTTATGTGTATGAATTCTTAACTTAAAATATCGTCTGACCTAATTAATTAGCATATTTTAGGTTATCCCCTTAAATCATTGAGATTGGGTCCTAGAACGTGAAGATCCGATCATTAAATCGAAAGTTTTAAGGTGGTCCGTTTTTTATTTTACATACTGCACTTCTAATGCTGATTGAATGATTCAATTCATAACTTAATTAATATACTAATTCCAGAGAGAGAAATTCGAAAGTTTTTATATAACCAGCAATCACAATTATTATAACTAATCTAAATGATAAATTTTGATTCTCGTTCAACAGTATAAAGCTAAAATATATGAATGCAAAATTCGGTTTCAGAAAAACATTTTTTTTTTTTTAAATTTATTACAGAATTAGAAGTATATTCATAGTTAATGTTATCTTAGGGGGGGAAATAAGGAAAATGAAGTTAATTTTTTAAAATATACACTTGATTGTGTGTTTTGCATATAATATGTACGAGAAATATGTTTTTAATTTCAAGCACGATATTTTGAAATGAATATTATACTTTAACCATTTTCTCTAAAATAATATTTAAATTCTAACTTTTATGACAGTTTAAACTTAAGAATTTTAAATTTGTGTAAGGAGTTCATTTTTAATAACAGTAAAAACTCGTATATCCGCATTTAAATTTTTACAAATTGACATTTTATCAGCAATCATGAATCCCGAAGAATATAAATAGATACTCATTTTATTAAAGTGTTACAATAATAGTTCGTAAGATATAATCAGTGCAATCCTTTTTCGCCAACATGTTGGACAACCACAATGAATTATAGAATTCTGCCGTCACATTCGTAATTAGTGTGTCTCCAAAACCCTAAGAATTACATAATATGCAATTTGTCAAAATGCTTAGATTTTTAGCCAGCTTCTTTTCGATTCAAACCACTATGCTGCGCTATTATACTTATGCTATGCTGCGCTATTATAATTATATATTAGGTATACCTGCCGAAAAAATATTACATAGCTATGCAAATTGAATAAAAATAGGCGGGGAAAAAATTAAAATTTAATATCAAAATCAGTTATGTCTTTTTTTTTCTCTTGAAAAAAAGAAGAAGAAAAAAAATCTTTTGCATGTTGTGTTTGATATGTTGTGTAGATAGTGCTAAAAACTAAATCTGGCAAAGAAAAAGAAAGGGGGAAAGAAAGGCATTTGAGTCATATGTCTTCAGTATACCTAAACTAATCGAATCTCTTGATTGTTTGTTTGTTCGAAGTATTTTTTTTCCTGTAATTATAAAAAGTAAAGTGCTATCATGTTACCCTGATAATAAAACTCAATATAACATAAAAACATAATGTTTTAACTCTGTTTTCCATTATTGTTGGTGCAATTTTATTGGCCGAAAAATCACATATTAGGATCCAGTTTCCCCACAGTAATTTTAATTTTTTTTCAGTTGTCAAATTAATAAAAGTCATATAGATATTGTTTTGCCTATAAAATATGTTTCTACCCCTAATTTAAAGGAGTTTACCAGTAATATTTCTTTTTCCAGTTCTACTCTATTTTTATTACGTTTTTTATTTTGATTGTTTTCTAATTTAAGAGCTTAAAACTAAAAGAGTTGTTTCTTTGTTATAACGTAATTCTGTATGAATTTTATTATTGCGTTATATTTTAAGATAAGCTTATTGAAATTCGTGTCCAAATTTATTAACTGTTTTACAATTGTTATTTTTCGGTGCATATTATATTTATATACTTTTTTAAATAACAGTAAAAGATTAAGAGCAACGATCAGCTTCATACAATATGTGATGTGCATTTGCCCACGCGAATGCATAAATTATATTCTATATATCAGCCTGTTTAATTAACGAAAATTTAAAATTACTGTTGTCAATTCACCAAATTTTTTATAACAATACAGTTTTTATTTTAAATGCTATTTTTAAAAAAACATTTCAAAGCAAAATTATTTATGTTCAGTAATAGGAATCATAAGAGCAATGAAGGAAATATCTGGCTGTTGGGAGGGGGGACAAGCGTAGGAACAGAATTCATTTTAGTACTTGTATTTTATGGAATAACTTCAACTTTCGTAGAATTTTTTTTTTATTCTAAGAAACAATTATTTATGCGAAGTTCGGAGTTGGTATGCGGCAGCGAACAGGAGACTTAGCCAAGTTTTCTTTCTTTTTTTCTTCTTCTTTGTTAAATATGTTTTGAAAAAAAGAGGGGTTATTTTGTCTTGTTTCTCCAGGGTCTTGAGAAACAACATATTATTAGTAATTTTCGTGCCAAATTCGCTTTATTTATTAGTTAGTTAATTAAGAATTTTTGAAGCTAGAACCAAAGAAGGCTATACCACACTTAATGCTTGGTTTATGTTAAAAGTCCATGATTTGTTTGTACGTTCATTTAAAATCATCTAGTGAAATGACTGTAAAGGGTTAGAAAAATTGATAGAGCATTTTTAAAAAAAAAATTAATTTTAGTCTGAAAAGCTGGGAAATATGAATAATTTTTTAAAAAATATTAAAATATTTTGACAGCTATATATCTCAGCAACAAGCTGCATTTAAAAATATGAGCGTCAAAGATTCAAATACCTTTATTGTTTAGCTAATTAAAATAAATTATTTTAAAAGCGAACAAATATTTTGTTCTCCTTTGCGAAAAAGATATGAAAGCTATAAGCTGAAATATTATCGAAACATACAAGTTTCTTACTGGATTTTCATCCCAACAACCAGTAGCCAGTTTATCAACAACAACATGGCATTTGTGAAGTTTGGTAAGTTCATAAGTTATTTTTGTGGGAATTTAAATTTCATAAACTAATTAAAATAAGTTAGAGTATAGAATAGGGTGACCCTTAGATAAGGCGCTGTAACTTAGAGCTTTTACTGTTTACAAAATCTTCCATTTTCATATTATTTCTCATTGTTAGAAAACTTCACTTTTAAGTCGTATTCCCTGTGTTCTGAACGGACATAAAGAATTGCCACAATGAAAGAGCCATACTATTGTGAGCTCTCATCTCAAAATCTAATACAACATTCATCAAATTATAAAAATAAATAAGTTTTTTAAAACAATAGAACTAAGATATTTTCTATTTCGCCCGCGCAGTAGAGGCTGTAGCTAGGATTTACTGCTCCCAGGGACAAAATTAGTTTTTGTACTCCCTTGCAATATGGGGTAGGTCTTAAATGTGGACTTAACATGAAAATTTTGAGTTTTAAATATAAATCTACCTCACTTGTCATTTTTTAAATTTATTATTATATTTACATTGGAATTTGTTATTATTTTTACATTGAATATGATTTTGCTGCTTTACATAGAGTTTTTAAGACAATTTAGCTGGATAATTGCACACATTTAAGTAAGTATTCAAGTCATTGCTGCAGCTTGATTTCTTTTTAAGTTGGTTTTCTTATTGAAATAGGTTTTACGAAAACTCATAATACACCTCACTACTCCAAACAGTTATTTCCTATTTAATACCCATTTCTAGAGAAGGTAACCTGTCTTTCTGACTCGAATAAGTTCTTTCATTGAAGTTCTGATACTTTTTTTTACTTGTCTTTTTTGATGCAACGAAAGGATCAGAGATCCTGGACTGCTATTCATAGGCATTTGCAGAAATTTTCTCAGGAAAGTGAAGGATTGATCTAAGAAAATTATTCTTTAACACGTTGAGTGCCGCATCTGTCATTGGTTACTGACACTGAACTTTTTCTTTAGATTGCAACAGCCATGACTGACACTGTAAAATATGATAACTATAATATGACAGTTGTAAATATGATTAAACTTAAAAATTTTACTTTAATTCATTTAAAAATTTGACTTAAGTTTATTTAACAAACAATTTTTGATAAGAACCAACAACATTTTACAACATTAAAAAAACTTAGAAAGAAAAAAATGACACAAATCAAGTTTTCTTTAAAATTCTTAAGTTCAATATGGTGTAAGCACACACACACACACACACAAAAAAAAGTAGTTTTAGTGTTACTTTTCAATGAAAGAATTTTTTTTTTTGTCATTATCCTTTCATTACCAAAAAAAAAAATAATAATTATTAGTTATTTATAGAATTGAATTTTTTTAAAAAAGATAAATTTTGTAGCGAAGATTCTATTGACATAGATTCTGCAACAAGTAATATTATATTTGAAATAAAGAAGCCTCTCTCCCTATTTTCCTTTTGCCAGTTCTCCTGTATTTAATCATTTAAAATAGAAAATATAACTTAAAGATCAGAAAGCTATATTTAATAAAATAATTGTCATATCTATCAGCATTTGAAATGAAACATTAATTGCTACTTAAGCTGATTCTGAAATACACTAAAATATAGCTCTTTATTTTCTTCTTTTCAGTTCTGTCTGGAAAATAAATTATGGCAGAGGTCACAGCTTCCAACAAAATCAAACCTTTGAAAATTGGGGTTCGTTTCAAACAACCTGCTATAGTGCTTCTCTATCAAAGTGGTGCCACATTTAGAAAAAGAATCATGCCAATTCGTGGATTGAAGAAAAACAGCTCTGTTGCTTTGATTGCTAGCGATTTGAAAGACCACCACGAGAAGTACCTGCAGAATGTACCAGATTTCAAAGTAGAAAAGATGTTACGACTCATCCAGAATGACATGAAAGGTTTAGACTTGGAAGAAAGCTTGCAGGAGCTTGCGAAAGAATTTACCATCGATCCTGATCAAAATCTTAATGACGTGGATGATTTCACATTGAGAAAGAAAAAAGAACTTATGGATGTAAGCTTTGAAAAAAATAGAAAAAAACCCGGTGATCCCGATTTTCAGTATGATATTGAGGTAGACTTTTCCGCAGAAGCTGGAATTGAATCTTCCATATGGGACTCTGAAAAAGAAGACATAGAATTCTAATAGAAATTTTAATGGATTGTTCACAATTTTAATGGATTGGATGATTTCACATTGAGAAAGAAAAAAGAACTTATGGATGTAAGCTTAAAAAAAAATAGGAAAAAACCCGGTGATCCCGATTTTCAGTATGATATTGAGGTAGACTTTTCCGCAGAAGCTGGAATTGAATCTTCCGTATGGGACTCTGAAAAAGAAGACATAGAATTCTAATAGAAATTTTAATGGATTGGATGATTTCACATTGAGAAAGAAAAAAGAACTTATGGATGTAAGCTTCGAAAAAAATAGGAAAAAACCCGGTGATCCTGATTTTCAGTATGATATTGAGGTAGACTTTTCCGCAGAAGCTGGAATTGAATCTTCCATATGGGACTCTGAAAAAGAAGACATAGAATTCTAATAGAAATTTTAATGGATTGTTACTTATGAAAATTGTTAATGATAGTTGCTTGTTAGAAGTGATGTCAAGCCCTGTGACAGAATCGAGGTGACATGGCGACATTGTCGCAGAACGTTACAGAGTTCTTGCAGTGAGATATTTCTTTTGTGAAGAAAAAATTTTGGTTTTCTTTTCTGCTGAAATTTACACGTAAAAATTTGATTTGTGTCTATAGATAACCCCTTTTTGTTGGGTTCATTTTACGGCGATAGTATCGTAAATCCATGTAGTGGTTTCGAATGAATTTTTGGCAGTTATTGATTTTCACATGGTTTTTAATTATTCGACATGTTTCAGACGATATGAAAAATTCGATTGGTGCATTCCAGTATTTACTTCTTAAGGCAGCCATTCTTTTTTTTTTTTTGGCAATTATTGCTTTTAATTTCCATACAGTTTTTAAAATCCGACATTATTTATTACAACAATTAAATTTTGAAACGAAACACATATTTCAGTAACCCCTTTTTGAAGAGTCCGATTGTTTCCAATCGATCTGTTTTCCGGTGTTTGCTGCTACAGACTTCATGATTTTTAACTATTTTTTTTTCAATGTGAAAATGCGATAAAGGAAGTAATTAGTACATTTTTCTCTTCCACAAAATGCGAGAATATAGCTCATAATATTAGAATAAAAAAATATTGCATAGTTAATGAAAAAAATTATATGTTTTTTTTTCTTCATAAATACAGCGTTTTTATTACATTAAATTCGTAACATACATATTTTTTATTATTGAAAGTATCTTGCAGAAAGATATTAGTGCTAGAGAGTGTTGCCACAGAAAACTCAAAAAAATTCTGCCACAGGGGTGTCAAGTACAGAGAAAAGAAACATGCGAGCTTGTAGCTGAAAAATTAAATAAAACTACGCTGTTGCCTTAGTTTCCTGTGATCTAAAAACTCATCACGTGAAGTATCTGTACAATGTACCAAATTTCAAAGTTTTTATGAACCATCCACTATATTATAAAGCGTGTGGATTTAGAAGAATGCTTGCAGGAGCTTGAAAAAAAATTTGGTACTGATCTGATGAAAATCTCAATGTTGTGGCTGATTTCATTTTTAAAAATCACTTCACTTTGAAAGAAATCACAAAAATTCTGATGATCTAGATTTTCAATATGGTATAAAAATACTTTTTTTTTTCAGGATCCTCAATTAAATTCTTCATATGGAACTCTGAAAAAAAAATTTGGTTTTCTAAAAAAAAGAAGGGAAAAAAAGTATTTTATTTCTAGTAACTGCACTCAATATTTAATTAACCAATCATTTCTTAAAAATTCAATAATTTAATTGTTAAAAAAATGATAATTGCTGAAAAAAAATTTTATGATCAAGGTTATGATATTTTTTAAATAACCATAGACAAGTTTAAGTTTGTAAATTTTCTGAGTTGAAATGGTAATTTTTTTTTATTTAACCCAGACTCTGCCATGGCACATAAGTTTTCTGTCCTCAAGTGCCTATATTCACAAACTTGTATGTTCTGTAAAGCATTTTTAATCCATATTATGTTATGTGTAAATCTTTTAAATTAATTCATATTAATGTTTTGCCAGTAGTTCACAACTCCACAATCTGCCATGAAGTTCCAAGTCGCCACTAGGCAGATCATTATGTGAGAAAAAATTTTTTTGTATTGCAATTATATAAAATATGTAGTTTCTATTCTGAAGTTTATTCAAAAGAAAAGTTTATTTAAATTTTTTGAAAGTTTATATAAAGGAAAAACTCAAATATAACATAATTTTCCTTCATAATTTCTGCTAACCAAAAAAAGGACTTAGACCTTATTTGTTCTAATCATGAAAAATCCTTCCATTTATCAATCATAAACATTTATTACTGATATATATATAAATCATTCGAGAAGCAGTAAACAATATACCCAATCATTTTTTATAATATTACTAGTTTACTTAAAGAATTTGACTTTTTAATTAAATTTGGCAACACTTTTGTATAAGTTTGGGATTGTTTAAAACTATCCTTTCGTACAAAAGTTGCGTTACTTAGAAATTCTCATTTGTTGCTCTCCTTAAAAATACTTCCTGCTTTTTATTTAAATATGTAGATGACTCCACTTAAATTTTCACAATTCATCAGAAGCATTTATGCTTTTTGTTTTTGGGATATCAAATTTATAAAAGATATGTGCATCAAAGATTTTCTTTGATTAATGAATACTTCCTCATATTTTTCAGAAAAATAGTGAGATTTTTATTACACCTGTCATTCAGATAAATGTGACTTTTTATTTATTTTTTGTATTTCAGGAAGGTGATTAGTCATTCTCAGATTATTCTTGATCTTTCTTCTGTATTTGTTACCCTTGTTTTAATTAAATTAATTTTAAAGATTGGGATACATTAATTTATATATATATATAGTTCAGAATTTAACTATCAGTATGCAGAACTTTGAAATCTAAGAGAGCTAGTATAAGCCCATTCCCCAACTAAATCCTAAAAAAAAAATCTTATCCTTTTTTACTTACTACCTACGAAAATGTTTCTGACATATTTTTATTATTTATTACAATATATTTTTTTAATGTTTAATCTTATCATTATATTGTGTACAAAATAAAGAGTTTTTATGTTTTTGTTGTGCTTATTTTTATTTTTTGAAGTACACTAACTCAAATACTTAGCCACCTGAAACTTTTTTTGTTTGAGGGAGAGGGGAGTTTATAGTATTGAAAGTTTTCTAATACATTTCAAACAATATGCACACAATCATAAGAAACATACAAACCATCTTTACTGGTCACTGCATTAGAAAGCATACATGCAGAAATTTTTTTATGAAAAATGAACTATCCTAGTCAGATTAAGAATAAAGCTTAAATAACTAATAATGTAACTTAGAAAGTCTTACTGTAACACACCTTTAGTGTTGAAACTGACATATGCGTAAAATTTATGATAAGGATAAGTTACAACAAGATAAAAAATAAAAAAATTGACCACGAAGGTAAGAACACAATCAATAAAAGTTGAACATAAGAAAAAGGATGAGTTTGGATAAGGAGAAAACTCCAGATGTTTTAAGAAATAGAAATTAAAAGGAAATAGATGTTCAAGCATTTCTAAATCAGATGCTGAGGAGGTCATCAAATAAATTATAATTTTTTTCAAATGATTCCCAGAAATTTAGATCCATAGCTGATAGCTTTTTTTTCCAAAGAGCAAGCTTATATAGTGCAGTTCTTAAATTTCTCAGCCAGTGCTTATATTACTATTATATTGGGTTTTAGCTGAATTTTTTGTTCTGTTTAGTTTCTTTTATTGATTACGAATGAGTTAATAATTATTAACATAAATACAAAGATACCTATAGTTGCCAGTCCTAATAATAACGTTTTATCTACAGCAGTAAATTTACACAACGTTTTATCTATAGCAGCCATTCAACCAAACTTGTGCTTACCTACATTTGCATTTACCTTTAAATATATTTCAAACTTATGCTTCATATTTGAAATATTTATCTTAATTTTTCTGTTTCTTGTTTATTTATTTGTTATTTAAATGATAGTTTTAGATTTATATATATATAAAAAACCTTCTAAAACTCTTAATTTTAAAGTTGTTTTATGGCAAAACTTAGGCTTTTTATTATTTAATACATATGATTATTTTGTATAATTTTGCGAAAACAACTGCTACTTTCAATTTAATAAAATAAAAATATTGCAATTTTAACTTTGTCATAAATAATTAAAAGCAGCTGTTTTCAGTATGAAATCTTCTTGAAAGAAGTGAAGAACTTTAAAATGATTCTTCTGTAATTTTAGAAAATTACAATTTCATTTTGTTTATAAAGTGAGAAATTTGCATTTTTATATTTCAGTTTTTTTTCCTTAAAATATGCTCCTGTTCATCTTGCATAAATAATTTATTCTGAATTTCCGAAAAATCTATCGAATTCAAAAAAGCTGGGAGTATAATTTTATTCCAATAAAAATTTAAAAACTAATGAACAACTCGTCAGTAGCATACAAAAGATGATGACTGAATTACAAATGAACACTGAATGATCTCTTTTTGATAGTTGCTAGATGGCGCCATTGAACAGTTAAAACCTTCTTGGTTCAAAATGTGAATCGAAATGCCTATTTTACACATGAGAAAGGAAGATCACGTGATATGTACGTCATAGTGTAAGAACCCAGTTTTAGTTTTTGTGAACATTATATAATTTATATTTGGCATTTGCGTCTGCTCTGTTTTTGTTTACACCTCGGCAATTTTATGATTTGTGTGAATTTGTACTTGTCCGTAATTTTCGGAAATTCTTTTATTTATCTTAAAAAGCGAGATGTAATTTATATTATAAATTTGTTGAAAGTCAAACTTTCTGCATCATTTTAAAAAGATTATTATCGGTAAACTGATGTCAAGTACATTTTCTATATATCATTTTGATTTACTTGTTAAATTTTTCTCCTAAAATTTAAATGGTGAAGAGCTAAAATAAGTTTCAAATTATCTTTTAATGTGTGAATAATACAATTGTTTTTAAATCAGAGTATTCACTTTTTCTATTTGAAGTGTTATATAAATACTAGGTTTTGTTTTTTTAATACAGTGCTTCAAAAAGATTAATATGTAAATTATTTTCCTTTCAAAACTATTTGCGCACAGATATTTTTGTATCGTGATCTGCCGCGCCAACTACAATCGCCGAAGAGCCAAATAGATTTTAAACTTGCAATTTGAATAAATAATAGT